CTATATTAATTAATTTTTATTAATTGTAAAAATTTTATATAAAAAAAATTGTTAAGTATAATAGCCAGATATTAAGATTTTTTTTGTAGACCTGAGGTACTATAGTTCACGCTGCACAGTATGTATTAATTAATAGATTAGATTCATTAATACTATTAAATTAAATATCATTGTTTAAATTATAAAAAAAAAGTTAGTTTAAAATCTGAATTAGTGAGTAATGCAAAATGAAAAATTAATTTCACATTGTCTAATCTTATTTATTAATAATACTTTTTTTAAAATAATTTTTTAGGTGCATCAATGCAAAAATTTCTTAAGGGTGTTCCACTTCCTGAATTACATCCGTCATTGAATAATAGATCAAAAATTGATCATATGATTGCAATGAAATGTCGTACTGAGCATCCATATAGTCAAGATATTATGGGTGTCACATATATGCTTTTAAAACAAAAACAGGAAAATAAAGTTGATCCTTATATTAGAACAATTCATAAGTAAAACTATATTTAATTAGATTTATATTGAAATTCGTATTAACTTCTATTTTATTTTAGGTTTTTTTTGATAACGGACAATACTTAGTACTATGTGGCCATAAAAATCAAATGAAATATTTGGCTGATTCTACATATTTTGAAATAGATATGAGTTTTAAACATGTACATGGACTGATTAATGAGTGAGAAGTGTGTGTTTATGTAGAAAAATATCAAAAAAGTAAGTAAAAAAAATAATTATAAAAATAATTATTGTTATTTATATAATAATTTTTTTAAAAAAAGCTTTAGTATTCGCGCGTGCTTTTACGATTCTTCAAACTGCAAATACATATAAAAAATTATTTGATGAACTTTTTATATGTGTAGAACAAGATTGTGGACATTCAATTGAATTTTAACATATCCACGGACGTGGTGTTGGATGTATTTTAGCAAACAAGCATCAGGAGCAAGCATTAGGTAAAATTTTATCTTATTTTATTTATTTATTTTTTTAGGCTTATAATTTTGTTAAAATAGATTTTTTTAAATTAATATTCTAGGTTTAGGTCAATACTTGGCAAAAAAGTTTCCTATATTTAACGCAACCGAACATTTAGAAAGAATCTATAAACTATGCACGGTTCATTTTAAAAGGTAAAAATTGCAATTATTATTTTTTGACTACATATGTATAAGTTATTAATTATATATTAATTTAATAATTAATTCAATTAATAGAAACATTTGTAACAAGAAAGGTGTAAGTAAAGAAATCAAAAAAAAAATGTATTCATTGATAGAAAATAAAATGGCATATGAAGTTATGGGTACTCTGAAATTTCTTCAACATTGTGGAGAACCTGGTGTAGCAGGTATGTTTTATAACTATGAATTATTTAATTTATTATGATTTTTATTTATTTATTTTGTATTTTAGACTGGGTTCAAAATAAAAGACAATCATGGATACTTGCGAGTTTGTCGCCAGCATTTACTAAAATGTTACCAACAATTTGGGCCAGTACACCTTTTACAACAAATGCAGAAGAATCAGCTCATGCAAACATTAACCGAAATGGATCTGGGTTGTCTTTATTGACAGCTATTCAAAAGTAAATTATATTTTATTATAGAACTAATTTTATTGTATAATTCATATTATTTATAACAAAATTTATTAATTGCTATATCTATAAATAGAGCAAGTGAATTTGATAAATTTCAATGGAGTTTTGCTTATACATATGAAAAAACAAATGTGTCTGATTCTTATCGGAATAAATTTTCTTTGCAAAGAACAGTTGAGGCTGTTAAAAAAAGCCGTATGTATTATATATAAAGTTTTAATAGTTAATTAATTTATTTGTTATTAATTTATTTATTTATTCTTTAACAAAGGAAAATGATTCAACTAGTCAAAAGTCTTCTAAAAAGACTCGAATTACAAAAAATAGCACAGGAATCTCACATGAATGTTCTGAAATGTCTATCGGAGATCATGAAATAATCTTAAGCATGGAGCGTGAACAACTTAGTATTTAAAGAGAGAAAAATAATGAATTAGAGAGAGAAATTATACTGCGAGAGAAGCTTCAAAAATCTAATAATATTTAAAAATATATGTTGTAATACTATAATAATTATACCTGCTAGTATATAAATTTATGATGCTTAGAATTATATAAAGATTCGGCAATTTAATTATCAATTTAAATGAATTATCTCTTTTTCAATGTTAAATAGCAACGTTAATATTCCTTAATTGTTAAGTGCATAAGAACTGTAATGATAATTATCAATTAGTAAATTAATAACGTGAGGCAGCGATCAACCAAGAAAGGCAAATTGAAATCGATGTTGTGCTGCTTTTTTTTTTTTTTTTTTTAAGTTTTTTTTTTTTCTTTTTTTTCCTAAGCTAATTTTTTTTATTTTGTCTTTCTCTTTCTTTTTAACCTGCTTTTTTTTGAAATTTGTCTTTTTTTTTTTTTTTTTTTTTTAGGATGGTCTAAGCGATGGGTTACACCTAGTATAAATTTATAATGCTTAGAATTATATATATAAAGATTCAGCAATTTAATTATCAATTTAAACAAACTTTCTTTTTCAATGTTAAATGGCGACATTAATATTTCTTAATTTTTATTATCTTCGGTCTAATTTTCTACTAAATACAAAATACATAATACATATATATTTACTTTAAAGTGGTATACTGTATTATTGTTTATAATATTTTTTATTTAATACAATACAGTACACTTTATAAAAAATAAGTGTACTGTACTAATACATAATGCGAGTACAATACAGTACACTTTGAGGCAACATACAGTACGAAATTTCTACAGTCCGTAAAATACCCAGGGTACTTTCAATTTAAGCTGTATATATGGGTATTAGAGTCGGAGGGATACTATGGTCAGCGTGGGGTATAAGTTGCATTATATGAGTGCTGCAGTAATATTTTATATACTAAGTGCAGTTAATCCATCTTTAATACACGGGTATTTTACATTCCCAAGTGCAATTAATCCGTCCTTAGTACCCGGGGTACTTTACATTCTAGGCCTCCGAATATCGTGAGAGGTATTATAAAAGGGGGTCTTTTAGTCCACGTTGTACGGTAGCTTAAGCCCTGAAAGTGACGCAGACTTCAGGCTTTAATTATATGATGCGTAATTAAATTTATTACATATGTCTCTAGTCATGGCTGATTCTTGGCTGATTCTTGGCTGAATCTTGGCTAAATCTGGTAAATAATAAATAATAAACTTGTAAACCGAAATCTAGTTTTCTTGGCATCACTTGTGTGTGAATTTTATATTTAAAGTCTATCAGAGTAACCATCATGGTTTCATCAAGATAAAAAAAGTTACAAAGCACAAGTTAATTTGAAGGATACTCAAACTGTAATACCCCCATTGTATTTATAGAAATAAGGGAATCAATTTATCTTGTAAGCTACGTAATTAATTATTTGAGATAATGCTGTAATAAATATGATGCATTAATATTTGTTCATTTTTAATGTTTTTAATGTTTACTGTTATATTTTCGCGTACGTACAGTATGTTACGTATAATATTACAAACACACGATCAAAATGAATTATTTATCCAATAAAATTGTAAAATAAACATTTCGGAATTACTATTTATGATTATTTTACAACCAAATTAAATAGCGACAGATAGAATTTTAGATTCTATATATACCAGAATAATAAACAGATCACTAATCTATTTGGATTGTCCTGTTCAGATTCTTATAAATCTTGTACTGTATTTAAATACTAATTTTTTGGTAATATATATTTAAAATAATACGATAGTAAGTTGTAATTCTACATAAGATCAAACAGGTTTAATTATTTTAATTGTAATTCTTAAACTTCTTTTTAAATAAGTTTAATTTTAAAACGTAAACGACAAAAATTTTTAATTCTATATAATTTTGGAACAATTTTATTATTAAATTTGGTTAGGTAGTATAAAAATCGCCAAAGATATTTTCTACTGACTTCCCATATATAGGTAAAATTCTTTTTGGTTAATTTTGATTATACCTATTCAAGTTTTATTATATTCGAAACATTATATTTACGTACGTACGTACAATTTGTTAACATTATACATTTGGGAGGTGTCAGTACCAAGCAAATTGTTTCTAAGTAATTTTTTTTTTAAACTTCAAATTAAAATATCTCAACTATTAAACCAAACTTGATAAAAATTATTTTATTTTAATTCTATATAGTTATATAATTAAAATAAAAAAAAAAAATTTGATTTAATAGTTATTGAGATATTTTAATTTAAAAATTAAAAAAAAGAAAAAAACACTAAAAACAATTTGCTTGGTTTCTACTGACACCCTTCCATTTGTTTTCGGACAGAATTGCTAATAATATTTGTATAATAAGAATAATTTTAATATACACTTTTACTAAAATGAACTTATGGTGTTCTCAAAAACTGGCTAATTATTGTAATTAATGTTTGTCGTCCACATAAAAAATGTTCTGTCTTTCCCAAGCCTTAATTTTAACCCTAAATACTAACCCTAATATGAATAAATTTTATATACAAATTTATAAAAACCTAAAAATAATATTTAAAAAAAACAAATGATAGATGTAAAACCACCGTAGGCGCGTTTTATAATAAAATGTTAACATGATCCCAAAAAAAGAAAGAATTTTATTTTTTTTTATTTTAAACATTTATAAAATTCCTTAATGCCAAATGACCAAACCCTACTACTCTTTGATTGATATGCAATAAATTAAAATTATAAACTATGACAAATGTAGTTGAACGCATAATCATTTTTTTTTTTGAAATCACATACTACATTTTAAAGCTATAATTATAATCATTGGATTCTATAGACAAGTAACAAATTAAAAATTGAAAATATGCATAAGTACATAATAAACGAGATTAATGATACAATCAATTTAAAAAACGATTTCATTTGTATCTTTTGTTCATTTTCTTTTATGAACAAAATTTAGATCATTAAGACAGAGCCAATAACAACCATAGATAACGCTGCCATGATACCAGAATAATAATCACTTTTCCTAGTCATGATCACAGTGGACGCACCAGAAGTTGAATCTAATTGTGTAGCTTGTTTACCCGGTGCGACCGCATAAACTGTTGTTTGCTGAGGATTATTATCATCTGCTTCGACATCATCGGAATCATTACTATCGGTGTTATCACTATTCTTATCATTATTCTTTTGATTCGATTTTGGTGGTTCTGTTGGTTTTGATGCTGGTGGTGCTGGTTGTACTGTTGATTGTGATGCTTGTGTTGTTGAATGTAATGTTGGTTGTGATGTTGGTTGTGCTTGGTCTACTTGGTTTGGGAGTGCCGGTTGTGATGCGTTTAATTGTGCTGGTTGTGGTGAAGTTGTTGGTTGATTTGGTAATGTTTGTGATAAACTTGCACTAGTTTGACTCTGTGTGACGGGTGCATCTACGTTAGCCGGTAAGCCAGCTGGTGTGTCTGTTATTTGTGAATTTGGATTAGCATCATCTGCAGTACTTGAGACAGAAGGGACAGGAGTATAACCAGGAGTCACTGTCGCATCATTACCATTTTCCACATTTTCTACCGGACCGTTGATAGCGGCCGGGGGCGCTGATTCTAAAGCGTTATCAGTTGTAGTTGTTGGTCCTGCCAGCGGTACATTTGCCCCCTCCGCTTTTACCTTTTTCTTAGCTTCAGTGATGATACAACTCAAAGCTAATAACAAAAAGTATAGAAAAATGTAAATGATTCTTTTAGAAGCCATATTTAAGGATTAAATAAATGTAAGAACGAAAAGGATGATGAGATATCGAGAAAAACTGAAAGGAAAATTTATTGAGTCCTGGCCTTAAGGAATGTGATAAGGCACAGCCTCGAGCTGGGTGTCAAAGAGAGGTAGGATTAAGGATGGAGTGAATGGTTTACGGAACAAGAAAAATAAATGCATTCAAAGACCATAATTTATATAAGTTTTAATTAGTGGATCACCCGTTTGAAGAAAATTTATCTGCATGTTGCACTAACCATAAAAGTACTTCTAATATAATTTTTAAATTATATATTTCTGTTTCAGGGTTAACCTCAAAGTATTGAGACTTTTTTGGAAATTACGGGTCCTATAAAATAACGTGGGCACCATGTTTTGACCAATGCCGAGATTGGTCTTTATTTCTGCACAGTAAATTATTGTAATTTTTAATGCTAACTTCTTTTCGTGATATAAACTTTCATGCTATTAGGAAAAAATGCAGACCATAAAAAAGTTTCACTTTCCCGACGAAATGCATTTCATTTGAAATTTTTTGCTACTTTGAAAAGGGTCTAATTTTTTTTTTTTTTTTAGATTCGCAGAAGGTGCTTGACCATTCGAGGTTGATTTCAATATATTTATTTCTTGGCATATACAAACATCATAGATAATTGTTCTTGTCCGGAGAGATTCGGTGGATAATAATATTACAGTATCACAGTATCATGTGAACAATTCTTCGTGATACTGGTTGGTTGAACATACTAATCCACGTGATTCATCTTATCGTTACCTTCCTGGATACACAATGCTGTGAATTACTTAGTTTTATTTAATCTTTTATTTTAATAAAAAAAATATATATATCATCAATAATGATTGCCATCATTATAATGCGATTGTGAATGTTGTGTTGTGGTAGAGCCGTAACCGGTTGTAAATTAAACCAAATTTGATTTATCGTTACTGACAGATTAATGTTGTTAGTCAAAATTGTTTTTGTTAAAATTTGTCTAAATTAAATTATCTAAATGTCTAAATGTCTAAATTTATTTTTTAATAGTAATTTTTAAAAAAATGCCAAAGTCGAAATTGCCTAAATTCAACGCCTAAATGTCTAAATAATTTCGACTAACAACATTATGACAGATAAAGAATTTCTTTAAGAAATGCTTGAATAACTATATCAATGGTTAGTAACGTTTTTAAAAAAGAATTGAAATTTTATCGTCAATAAAAAAGTAAAAAGTGTTCGAATTAAGTATTCGAATTATGACAACACCTCCTGCGTTTCAACTTTTCTAAAATCTCTACCATCTTGTTAATCAGGTCAACAAGCTTAACTTTTTTTCGTTTTCAAATTAATTTAGTACGTATAAAGAATTAATTCTAAAAAAAAAAAGAATTGCTTATAGCTTTTCTAGTATTATCTTTAATTCTAATATTATATCTTAATTCAATTGGTATTTGTGATCTCCACGTAACAGGTTATTCAATTTTGCTTCATAATGAATTACAAGATCTTCAATACATTTATTATCGTTCTGTTAGTTTTTTCCTACGTAATACAGATTTTTTTCCTAATACAGTAAACATATACATATATCGATATAGATTAAAATAAAAATTTTTAAAATCGATATAGATTAAAATAAAAATTTTTAAATTGTTCTATCGCTATTGCTGCCAACACTGGACCTATAGATCTATAGAAAATTATCTGTAGCATATTGTTTGTGATGATTTTCAAAAATTCATCGATATTATTTGCTTCATACTGTAGCGCAACACCTTAATGTTTTTTTATTGTTTTAACATGTTCAAATATTTATGCCTTTTTTTCTTTTTTTAATGAAAAGCTCTAATGTTTTGTAATTTCCATAGCATTTGAGAATTATTAAATGTTGCGGTTGCATAAAAAAAAAAAAAAATCCGCAATACCGTAAATTGCTTTAATCAACTACTGTAGTTAATAGGTAAATCATAGAATATTAAGACTTTTATATAAATGTTGGAATGCTGATTCTAATAATAAATAAAAATTTATATTTACAAGGTGAAAAATACCAAGATCTCAATCTACCGTTACACCATCTTGAGAAGATCCATCATTAATTTGAAATTTACTATTTATTATATCCTTCAGAGGCGAGGCGAATTAATTACTGTACGACCATTGTCCTGGCACACAAATACTATGCGAGTTGTTCAAATTATTATCGAAACGACTAGAAAAATTACATCATACATATTACAAGATGAGTTAAAATCCAACATTGTGGAAATTTAAATACGGTATATACTTACGGGTTTTCCTTTGGCAGAACTCGCCAAGGGAAAACCTGTCATTAAGATTTCAAGTTTATTGTTTACCAGACTCCATCTGTCTGATTTGTTAGGGATTGTGACCAATAACATAAATTTATAAGTTCGACGATAGGTTTTTCCTTCGCGGCACCCATATGTGATCAGTATTTATTCAGAAATTCTATCATATACGTACGTACATACGTTATAACGATAAATGAGAACCGGGATTACTCGATTTTTCGCCTATCAATTAAATTAAAATTATGAAAAAAAATCCCCAAAGTTTTCAAAAAAAATCCCCATTAATTTGAAATTTTGGGTACGTATCATTTTATAGAAAATCATTTCATTTTGAAGACTTTACAGACAGTTATTTTATTAACAATTTTTAACAGTGAATAACTTCTAACCTACTACCGTTGTCCACTGCTTACAGTATCCCCCAAAAATAATACCCCCATGATTAAGACCCGGGTATTATTCACCACCCTTACTGGCTTGTTACTTGAATAAGACCCGGGGTACAACCATATTGATTTACTACTTTTAATATGATATGTCCCCAAATATAGTACCCGGTTCTTCACACAGTACCCACGGGTACCATTCAATTTTAAAAATGGAGTTCTCGAATAATACCCCGGGTACTGTAGGCAGTGGCCAACGGTAATCTATTTTGGATAATTTGATTACTAAAATAATCAACTCATCAAGTCAATCGTTTTGGTAATTAAATTATCCAATAGGAGTTCTTCATTGCTAAAGATTGTCTATGAAATTCAAAATGAACTTGTCTATGAAATGAAATGTCTGTGAAATAATTTGCTATAAAATGATATGTACCCGAAATTTTGCTTATGAAGCTACCTTACGTGTCCTAACAAAAAAAAAAAAAAAAATTTTTCTTGCAAAATTTTTGTTTTAATAGTATCTGATAGAAAGTCTGATGTAATTTATTTCGTCCAATCAGAGATAGATCTTTATGCGTCAAATAGGAACCTGGAGTAGACCCTAATACTCATTATAACTAGGGCTCTGCAAGTGTTGAGCATAATATGTACAGTATCCTCAGAAAGTATTTACGTATAAATATGCAAATTTAAAATATAATGCTATTACGCAAATTATTAAAACATAATGCCTACGTACGTACGTATGTGAGCGGAACCGTTTTTAGCCGAACTATTTGATCAAAAGTAGCAGTGATGACCCAAGGATTAAATGACCTATTTTTGTGGTTGTGGCTCGGCCCGGCCCGCTTTGCAGCTATTATCATAGGACACCAGTGAAAATTTGTGAATGATTTTCCGGCAATCCGGATAAGTTAATGTTTCGGCATAATAGATTCAATCAATAGTGCAATGGCACATGACTATTGCACCAGCATAACAAAGTTTTGCCAGTATTAATAGTTCAAAGGTACTTGAGAACTCGACTTATAAAAGACATGCTAACATCTAGGTGATTTGCAATTTCCGAGATGATAATCTTTCTAATTTTTTTTTCAATTATTCGCCAGCGAAGCGAAAATGATTTTGGAAGCATCATGCTTCATTCAGTATTTGATCTGATATATTCGTATCGGTATAATATTTATACTGTATTAACCTAAATTACATACCAGATACGTACGTACGTCCATGGATAGATTAGTGGAGCAACCAAAATTCAGCAGATCGACCAAAATTTAGGGTCGGAATAGGCCCGGAATTGATAAATTTCTCCCAAAATCTCCCAAAATTTTACTAATAAAATGGTAGCCTACGTACTAAATAAAGCTGCCCAGATGATAATTTTGCTATAGTATAGTTGACTTGTATTATTGCTTAATGCCGTCCTAGTTCCGGGCCCATTCCGACCCTAAATTTTTGTCGATCTGCTGAATTTTGGTTGCTCCACTAATCTATCCTACGACCATACGTATACGTATCAAAATTTATAAAATCTCATGCCGAAATCATAATCGGCTGAAAAATCATCCGGCTAATTTTTATCAGGTGAATTATGATAATAGCTGTAAAGCGGGTCGGTGGCCAATCAAATCTCAAGATCAGGTGTAACGTAACATAATTAGGAAATTCCAAAAATCGCTCATAACACAAAATTTAGTCTATGAAACTGCCTTCTGCGCATTAATTAAAATTTTCTTTGTAAAATTTTGATGCAAAAATGTCTTTGGACATCGATATGAGTGCTGCAGAGCGAAAAGCTGGAAGTGAATATTTAAGTTTTCACTATGGCGAGTTTACCCCCTGATGAATTCTGATGTTACGTAATTAATCATGCATACGATCAGTTTTCTAGTCGTTTCGATAGTATATATATCATTGGCTTTATTAATTAATAATCGATTTTTATTACAAGAACACTGATTATCAATACGTAATGTTGCAATTCATCAGGGGCTAAACTCGCCATAGTGAAAACTTAAATATTCACTTCCAGCTTTTCGCTCTGCAGCACTCATATAATGGCAAAATCCTGACACAAACCTAAAAACACGAAATTTTTTACGATTCTACCCTCGTAAAAAAAAAAATTTTAAAATTAAAAGCGGGTCGGAACTTGCCACAAAAATTGGTAATTTGCAGCCTCTACTTCAGCCTACTCCAACATAATCTATAGCGAAATTATTAGCTGAACATTTTTACTCAATAGATGGGCTATGACTTCATTAGTAAAATTTTAGTGATAGATCAATCAAT